GAGGCTGTGTTGGGCCAAGTGTCACAAAGAGTAAGGAGGCAGCCTGAGACCAAGAGGAGGCAGCAGAGCCAGAGGAACCAGGAAGTGGTGAGGGTGACAGAGGAGTGACATGGTATCGGTTGGCAGGGGGAAGGAACAGGGCAGCCACTGCCATAGGGCAGGAGAGAAGCAAAGTAGGAGCCACTTACAGTGCTTAAGGCTATCCAAAAAAAAAAAAAAAAAAAAGGAGCCGTTGAAACTTATTAAGGTGGGAAGTTAGATGGTATTGTGTGATGCTTGGGGTAGAGAAGGCAAAATCAAGCATGGTCACGCAGATGATAAACTGGCATTAAATACTGGTCTGCCAAGATCTTTCAAGTCTATGCATAGATATTGCATGCTCCATTGGGATGGATAAAATGTCCTCTAAAGTGTTCACTAAAGTGTCCAATTTTAGCCCTGACAGGCCATCAAATGGTTGGCTTAAGCATTTAGTGGTGCAGGAATGATTATTTTCCATCTTAGTGTGCAAGTTGCATAATTTTAGGGAAAAGAAGATGTATCCATGGCAACTTCAGTTGACAAGTTTTCTTTTAAAACTATTGCAGCTTCTTAGATCTGTTCAAAGGTTAGGGTGTTAGAAGTAGCTGTGTTTGATGGATTAAAATGTACAATGTACATGATGGAATCAATGACACAGTAAAAGTGATTTGTAACTTTATAGTTATTGGAAGCAAATGTAGTTTTTGGAATGAAATGTTGGACAAATGACTTTTTGCTGACCAAGATGATTTCTATATAAATAGCTGTATGTGTTTGAAAAGGCAGCTCCAGTCTTCAGGTCAGTAGCGTGCACCTTAGCAAAGTGTGCATTTTTCAAAATGCATAAAGCAGGAAATGACAAACCATTAAAGCACAAAAAAGCTTGCTAATGGAGTCCCTTTTAAATCTTAGTGGTGATAATGTGTGAAAATTGCTTAATCTGTCCAAATTCATAGGTGAGTAATAACTCCTAACTCCTTTCCTGACATTATTCTTATCCTAAGGTAAGTGGTCTCATTCAGCTTTTATGTTAAACATAGTCCTTTTCCTAATACAGCAACACCTACAGGAATATAGTGATAAAAGTAATCCTCAGGCTATAGCTGTAATTCCAGTTCTAATCCTAGCCCTAGCCTTCATCCTAGCCCAGAGACTCCAGACAGATTTAGGTCTAGAAAAACTCCATAGTCTCTGCTATCTACACCACAAAACCAAGCTTCTTGGCCCCTTTTTACCTCACCCATTTTCACAGCCTGTACTGATAGCAAATCTAGACATAAACCAGCTCCCTCTAGAAGTCTCCAATTTAAAATTAGGCAAACTTCACTAGCACAAAGCTTTTCTAGACAGTTTGCTTTTTACCAGGAAATGTAATGAGTCTTCTTGCTCACTAGCAACTGGACAATGAAGATGTGAATACATATTTGAACAAGTATAGACTAGCTCCCAGGGCTGTTTTGGTACTGGGTACATTGATAAAACACTTGCAAGGTTAAACTGTAATAAAAATAGTAATGACATTGGTGTAAAAGTAGTGCAAAGGTAAATGACTCAATAAGATGTGGGGCATAGAGACATACATGTTTGAGAAAATCTATGCATAAAATGGATGTAGTGGGTTATAAATAATTCTATGGACCAGCTTTTCCCAAGATGATTTTATCTGTTGATTATCTTGTCCTGCCAAGCCAATGAGTTTTTGAGTATAAAAAGGGTAAAGCTTGTTAGAGAGTTTTCCTTCTTCAGATGTTGCATTGAATTTAGTAAAGAGAATAAATCTTCAGCTCTCATGGCCATCAGCACTTGGCTGTCACGGAGACCTAAATGCCTTTGTATCAGCCTCTACCTCTCTCCCTCAATCTTCTCCTTTTCTCAGACTTCCTGGCTTACTGTCAGGACACTGCCAGCCTCCCTGTCCTTGCTACCCCCCAGGCCTCCCAGGAAATAGATTATTCCTACCTAGAAAGAAACAGTCAAAAGCAAAGCAATCTTTCACATGGCACTAGCAAACAGTACATCATTAGAAAATTAACTTTGACTCACAGGGTTCTGCATCGAATAAGGAGAGGGCCAGAAAGAACAAAAAAGCAGAAAGCATAGGTTGGTAACTGTTTAAATTAATTTCAATGAAGTAGATGGAGTCCGCAATGCCCTTCTTCCCATATATGCTTCACAAATATGTTTTGCATGCATGGTACACGAGTGTTGAACGCAAGACAGTTTTTTTTAGTGATGCTTTCTAAATGAAAACAACATCCCATCAGCACTTTGGCTTGCTTTATTTTACCCAGCTGTCTATTAATTACTCTACTATTCACAGAAAGCAAGGGAAAACATTCCTTCAGTTGTACATCACCACCTTGTGGAGAAAAGTAATTACTGCACCCCTCTTAGTTTCTTAGAAAAAAAGTAAGCCGGCTGAAGTCAATGAACTCCAATCCAGGTTGGAGTCTAAATGAATTTTAAGTAGGTTATGGTGTTGTCTGTCCTGGGGAACCGATTTGCATAGCTGCAGCAGTTATTCTGGTACTATCATTTAGCTATTCTGGAACATGAGAGTACAGGGAAGTTTTTCAGGAACAGCTGCCATGTTTACACTACACTGGAACAGCTATACTAGTCAACTTTCCTAAGTCAACAGATCTACTTGGATGCAATTTATGTGCTAGATACAGGACCAGGTGGATGTAGCACAAATATCGTCTACCAGGAGAATGCAAGGCAATACACAAAAGTTTAAAATAACCACTTCTTCCTAATGTCTTCTGACTTTTCCCAATATACTTTTATTTTTCGCTCTAGAGCATGCAAACTGTACAAATTCTAACTTCCACATAGCCAAGTTCGTTAAAATCAGTTGTAGGGTGCCATGACTGGTCAAAGCTTTCAGTAATCTAGGCAAAACTGAATTTAAGTCGCGTCAAGGTGCGGGGCAATGGCTGAGATGATCTTGGCATCCTTTGTTGACAGATAAAAGAAGGGAGGGCAGCTTGGATGGCACCCTAAGGAGGGGTCAGCCATGTGGAGGTGAGATTGCACTTCCCACAGTGACTGACTGCTGGAGGAAAGAGGAGGTGACTGCCAAGAGGGGCTCCCAGGCTATGGGAAACATCCCCCTGCTTTGATAATCAATTAGGTATGGCAAATAGTGACGAGTTGTCACTGAGTTCCAAATAAGTACCTTACTGAGCTTAATTCACCTTTTCTGGACCAACTTTTCAGACTGCCTGATGGACAGATGTGGCTACTTTCTGCTCAACTTCTCAAAATTTTTCTTTTGAGAATCATAAATGACACTTTTTTAAAATGGGCATCAATAGGGCAGTGGGAACAGTGCTCACTGTTCATGTTGAGACATACTTAAGTTTTAGCTCTACTTAATTTAGACAAGACGTTGAGCCCTGGTCCACCAGTTTACCAAGGCTACTGGCTATTTTAGTTAGTCTCTCAATTCCTCTGTTGAAGCTGTTTTGTTTTTACATAAATGTGAACGGTAGCTGGGACAGTGTTTTAAGGCTACTGCAAACAAAATCAGATCTTTCTTCATTTCTTCATAGAGTGTAGCTAAGTTGTGAAACTCCTTGTCACAGAGTACTGTGAATCCTAGAAGTACACATGGCTTCACAAAAGGGATTGCACAAATATATAGAATAAAAATTTGCTGATGGCCAAAACACAAAATACCACATCTGAGTCACAAATCACTAGAGCCTGGGAAAGTATTCAGGAAATGGAGCATCACTGTACTCCTGCACTCTCCTCCAGGCGTCAGTGCCTGATGCCTAGCTGTGAGAGGCAAGGTACTGAGCTAGATGAATTTTCAGTCTCACACAGCACAGCTGTTTTTATGTTCCAGGGCACCAGAGGTAGATGTCCTAAGCCACCAGGCTACAGGCTGTTTATCTCTGGCTCAGTGAATGTTTAATTCTTTGCACAAAGTACAATAAGAGCTTCAATAAGAAAGGTTAAAGAGAACAACCTCTACACAGGGCATAGCCTAGTGCAAGGCTCCCCAAGTATAGCAAATGAAGCATCGAATGGTAACACATGGCAAAGTTTCCCAGTGGGCCCCAGGTCCCTCCCAGTCCCTACAGGAGAAGCTCCAAGAGCCAGCCCCAGAGAGAGCCTGCCTGCAGGCCTGCACGCGAGCTGGGCATGCAGGGCAGACAGCTGGCCACCAGCCCCTTTCAGCACCTGCCCACAGCCCTGCGTCTGCACGCTGGACTGTGTGAGGACTCAGCGGTCAAGTCTCCGCATAGCATCAGACATGTCAGACATTTCAGTCTTAGTTTTCTGTTTCCAAGGGGAGCACCCTGGCCGTCAACGTATGAGATATTTAGGGGTAACTTCTCCTGTTCCTTGTACTTTCTCTCTCCCCTTGCTTTTTTTTTTTTTTTTGAAAGATTGGTTTATTTTTCATGGAGAAGAGGGAAAATGGAATCTCAGAAAAGAAAAATGCTGGGAGAGAAAAACTATTTTCTGTCTACGTCTATATACAATAGGTATAAAATTATAGAGTAGTCTAGAGTAATGACCACCTAACAGCTTCCAGCCTAGGCAATTCATTTTTTATTTCTCTAAGCTAAAATATAAACTACCAACAGCATTTTCAGCCTAGGCTATATAAAAACCCTGGTATTCAGTCCAAATCCATATGACTTCCTGACTAGCGCACTGAATATAAGCTGAAGGGCAGCAAGACTACAGAAAGCATTTCAAAGATGCTCACAATGAATAGGAGTCAACCTCAAAAGCCTATTGGGACGGCCTTTTCTTTATCAAATGATGGTAAAGCAGTGTATGCTTCTGATAGAACTCAACTGCTCTGTCAATTAAAGTGTCTGAAATCCATAGCAAAGCCAATTTGGCACTGGACAATTCAACATGAACATAATTGCTTTTATTTAGGATTATAATTAGGACCCATTTGACAAATGCTGCGCTAGCTGGGCCAAGGATGTAATGAGTTATTTCCCTACCTTCTGGGCCACAGCTCCATGTGTGCTGAGGAGAGAGCTGCATTCCCCTTCGTGGTACTCTTCTTTACATTCACGGCAGAACACAAACTGAAAAACAAACAAGTCATAAAAACACATTAGGAATACAGACAGTAGATTACAATCATAGAGTCACACAGCAGATGATCTCTTACCCTCCTCATCCCTTCAAATTCCCATAATCCTCCTAATTATGCGTCTTACCGGACAAACTGATCATTAACACAACAATTTTGCAGTTATTATGATACGTTTCTTCAGTGAAAGAAAATAGATGTTATTATTAAAAATAGGGTTTTGCTATATGGTCCATTTAGGGATATAGTCATACTAGATACTTCTGGGTGTGTTTCTCCTACAGTGAAATCTATTTATACAAGAAGGGTAAAACAGCTAAAACATGTAGTTCTGCTTTATAGTGTTTACTAATGGAAGTAATCTATTCATATAATTGTGGATAAAACACATTCTCTGTGGAAAACTATTGAATTTGCTAGGAGATGACAACTTTGTATAAGTCATCTGAAATAACATTTTATACAAAATTGTGTCCTTTACATGGACTTTTATGGAGTAGTTTAAAACAAAATCCATAGAAAGAACAGAACGATTGGTTACCTACATGAGTTTTAAGGGACTACCCCTAGACCCTTATTGTATTTCTAGCAGTCGTTGAGGTTTCACCTTCCTTAAATTCTGTTGCTCTTTACATAAGGGTTCATCCAAAAGTAATGTCTCTTGCAGAAGAGTAAAACAATTGTTCATCCCTTAGGTTGAGCTGCTACTGCTACCTAAACTGGTTCATATGTATCAAGTTTGATGCATTTTTTTTAACTCTAAAATGAAGATATCTGTCTTGGCATGTGACAAAATCTTTGACCCATCAATGCTGCATTAATTTCTGTGTCTCTGCAGGTAAGAGAAAAAGTCAATAATGTAAAATGGGTCTCTCTCATGCTGTTCTAAAGCCATACTGTCTTGATATACCTGCAGACTCTGAAAGATCTCTCACCAGTGAGTAATTTTGACTGGCATTATAAGCCAGACTGATAAAACAGCCTTGATTTTTAGATGCAGAGCTGCATTCACATGTAATGAATAGGCATATGAGGAGGACATGACACTGGAACATTTGTCTGCCATGAATACTATCTTTTGCAATTTTATTTTGAACTCTTTCAAGCCTCATTGACACTTTCGTAAGAGCCACTGAAAATCATATTTCATTGTCATGCTAAAGAAACTAGACTTTTAGGAAAAGAGGCATTGTGAAAGTCCAAAATGGTTGATTCTGTTCTTCAGAAAGTCAGGGAAACTTGGAGTGGAGGAATGGAGTGTTTTATCTTCCAGTGGTATCAGACAAAATCACCACTTTGCTTTCTTGTCTCTTTTCTTCACTGCTTTCCCAATGATTTAAAATGTTTTATTTTACTTTAACTAACATTGATCTGCTAATGCGTTTGCGTTTGCTAGAAGAGAATTTAACAAAGGAGGCACTTTTGCAATAATGCTGTATTATTATATTTGATAATTTAATAACAACAACAAACTCAAAAATTTGCACTACAGTAGTGGTAGAGTGGTACAGTTTCAGCCATGGTGAGCCCAAACACATATACAGATGAACTCTTTCAATACCTAGCATCTCAAAGACGTGTTATTGCTTAAGAATTAAGGTTGTGGCCAGGCTGAACTGTGCTTCCTGCCATGTGTGTCCCATTCTCTTTTTCCTTCCTGACTTTTTATTTCCTTCTGAACACACTTGTCTGAAAGGGTTTTGTATACAGTTGTTATAACTGCCTTATCACAAAATGCCTCAGCTTCCTTTTCTCCCTCTCCTCTCACAATTCCTTCTTCTCTCTCTCATAATTCCCATGCAAGTGTAATTTTGCACATTTCATAAAGCTTAAAAAGGGGGAAATACTGAAGAAAATAAAAAAAAGGACACATATTTTGTAAAGACATTCCAGCTGCCTCACAATGTAGTCTGCATGCCGTTCGTATTTATTATAACAATGCTATTCATGAACTCATGCTGTACTATTTAAAGGTGTGATATGCATTTTTGTCACTATACAGGGCACTTTTTATACTTACTTTTAAAATAAAATATTCTCAGGAGCAAGATCACAGTGGTGTTTACCAATATTTTCCCCATTAAGTCTGCTCTATCAGAAACTTGCATGACTGTGCGTACTGTGACAATTTTTTATCCTGCAAGCAAGTCCATGACAGATCCTGTCGCATGCTTGTGATGAAACAAAGTCTGATTTTTTTGGTGATACAGGATACTCTTTTCACATCTTATTAGATAATGGATGAGATGTCAAATCGGTTTTGTGGCAAAAGAACACCCTGGAAGATTATCAGTTTTCCAGAAAAAAAAAGCATCTCCCTCCTAAAAATGCATTAAACACTCCCTTTTTATGGCAAAGCGTGCATCACAAAGAAAACGCATGTCACAACAACAAAGAGAAGTTTGTGATAGTTTCATTTTTTACATTCAGATATGGAAAATATACAGTGTCAGGAATGACATACAGCAACTGTAAAAATGCTGACAGTTAACCTGTACTTTGTGGCTTCATTAATATTAATAAAGTTAGTTTGCCTACAGAAAGAAAAGGATTTAAGTTGTTTAATCACGTTTTAACACTTTTTCATAAATTTGATGATAGCATGTGTTTAAAATTACTTTTCATGTAATTACTACTAATAGCCACATTTTCTCTCCTTTATTTGCCAAGAAGACCGTCAGATGACTGTGATAATAAGAACTATTGGAGAACTTTGTGTATTTAGCACTTACTGTTGCTACCCTTGAAAGACTCTTTGGTTGGAAAACAAAATCCCAAAGGTGTGAAACCTACCCTGTAGGTTTATGCATCAAAATGAGGATTAACAGGGAAATCCCCAAAGCACTTAAAGGATTTAGGCACTGGAAATTAACATAACCTCTGTGTGTGCTATTATGGGCATTTTGTGCTGTAAAAATGTATATCATTACAGTTGATTTTTTAATCAACTGTAAAAATGTATATGAGAGGGACCTAAGAAGAAATCCTGAATCCAAGTGACCTCAGAAAAAGAGGTATTCAAAGTCTCAACAGGGATCCAGATCCTGCTTTTAAAATGCTCCGGTCTTTATGATCATTCAAACAAAAGCCAAAGTCTATCTGAACTCTGGCCAATTTTATGCAATTGAAACCCCAGAATTGACATTTGCAGCGCCAGAGTGATGCAGAAAAAAACTAGGGTGGTGGAACCAAGCTATTTTCTCAAATGTTTCAGACTAGACCTTTCACAGTGTTTTAAGTTTGGAAAGGAGAGCAGAATGTAGCTCTTATTTTGAATGAAAGGAAAATTATCTTTTATATGCTAAGCGAATCGGTTTTTTAGAAAGAGGATTCTGCCATTTCCTTTTCACAGATCTACTTTTCCTTGGACTGAACATGACCCCTCTCATTCTCACTCTTGCCTACTGCAAACTCCTCTTCTTTGGTCTCTTGCACTGATAGTGTCTCCCTGTGATACTTGTCAAATGTTACTGTTAAAATTGTCTTTCATCCAAAATACTTCAAATACAATACTCCCATTCCTGAATCCCTACAAAAACCTTCAAGTTTGACCTTCCTACTGTTATTTTTAAGTTATCCTCAGCTCAGATATTCCCTTTCTTTTTTACTCTTACCTCCTTCTGTGTGTCTACATAGCAAAATGAAGGCAAGCTTGTAGTAAGGTACTCATATCCAAGGTTTAATCTGCAGCACTATCGGTGCACTGCTAGGGACTTCTGTGTGAACTAGTGACTCAAGAATATACATAGATTTCTTAGAAGGCTTGTGCAATCCATGATGAAATCTGGGCTGCCACATCTTCACTGCTACAGTAGTCACTATTAGCTAGACTGAAGACAAAGTATGATATTCAGTTTGGCCAAAGCATATCTTCCAAAAAGGACATTCAAGTCTAGCTTAAAGACATCAGGTGAGCAAAGATCTACTCATACCTCTGGTACAGTGTTTTAACAGCTATTCAAAATCACTGTTAAAAATTGTATCTAATTTACGGGTTGACTCTTTCTGTACACAGCTTCCAGCCACTGCTTCCTGCTTTACATTTCTCTGCTAAAACAGCCTTTCAGTATCACATATTTTCTTCCTGTGAAGGTAGTTATATATTGAAATCAAGCTACCTCCTAATCTTCTTTAAGCTAAACAGAGAAACTCTAAGTTGGTCATTGATTACGCCATTCCTCCTGCCCGCCCCCCCAGGCCCAAATCATATCCATAGCACTTTTCTGGAAACTGTCTTGTATTTGTCATGAATTGTTATTTCACCAGTCTCTGCATCATTCCTATCAACTGAGGTTTTGTATTTATTTCTGGATCACTGAGAAATATTGAATAGTGACAGGTTTATTATCAAACTCTCTAGAATGCCACTAGCATCCCTGCTGCTCAGCGATTCTCCTCAGAAAAGGTGTCTCTACACAACCACCACCCAGTGCAGCATGCATACTGTCATACGGTAGTGGTGAGACTGTTGCTGCACACACCTTCTTTCTCGTCATCCTTTCAGTTGGAACCCAGTCCCCTAAAGTCCTTTACTGACATATTATGGTGGTAATTTCCTTGTCAGAACATTCTATAGTTTGAATCTAAATTGTTTTTGTACAACTTTCTTTTCTTACCAGACTTGTAACCTCATAACAGAATGAAACCAGTTTCTCCTGATGTGACCTGTTGTCATTGAGACTATATTGATTAGCATGTTTGTCGAGATTGTTTGTGTTCTCAGTTCTTCAACCTTTTCTCTTTGACCTTCCCTCATTCAGTGCTGGCTGTCTGGACCAATTACTACAGGTGGGAATCATGAAAACTAAAGCTGCTAAATAAAGGAAGGATCAACATCTCTCTGCTCCCCGTGGAGCTTTCTGCTATTAGGGTAAACCTTGTATGCAAGACAGGAAAAGGTTCCTCAAAAGCAGGACTATATGAATGAAGGATAACCACAGATCTTACCACCCTTCAGTAAAATGAAGGGCTTACAACTTTTAGCTTGCCTTC